CTCTTCAGTGTATTGAGACCCCAACTGTGAGAATGTCAAAGCTTCCCTGTATTTTTGATATGAATGTATTTATTCTGTTTCACAACCAACATATGGGTTTTATTGTTGTCACTTGTACACTGAGTTTTAAACCATTGCAAAACATCAGAATAAACTTTATATATATATATATAAGTTAGACTGTTTTAATTCTAATGCAATAACAACAGAAGTGTGGGTCTTACTACAAAGCAAAGATTGTAAGAAGGAAAAATATAAAATTCTTATGTGGTACTGGTACTAGTAGTATTACATACAAATCATACAAGTTTATCATTCTAAATACTGAATCATATTATTATTATTATTATGAACTAAATATAAAATTACACTAAATTATTGAACTTAAACCTACTAATTTAAATTCAAAAGAATATAAAAAAATCACAAACTCTTTCAGTTCAAAGTGCTAAGCCTAATTCACTTAAAGACCATACACTCACCACTCGATAGCTCTTAACCCTAACATTTGTGGATCAACTTCTTTCCTAAAAATATATATATTTTAAGTTAATTTTTTCAATATAATGATTAATATAAATATACAATACAGCACGACTTAAGCTACTATAGAAAAATAATAAAAGTCACATACATCCCAGGCAGTTTTTTTCTAGAAGTTTTCTAAGGCTTATAAAAAGTACTATTGACTAATACTAAATACAACCTCTACATAAAATGGCAGTTACTATAATAAGCACCATCCACATTCATATTGTAAAATTCAGAGAACAACATTTCATGTGCTTTACTTATCATCCTATGATTTGTCAAACATGAAATACAGCGATTGGAATAACATGGTAGTGAAATTTACACCTCAACTACAATTGGCTAAAAGTTTTACAACTGAAGTTTAACACACCCAGACATTGTTTTATAAATAGAACAGACTAGAAAAAGGTTTAGATACCAATCATAGATGGCGGGACCAGCACTACAGTGCAAGGAAATTTTTTTTTAAAAATGTTGAAAAAATTTCCTTCTTAGAGGGTGCTTATTTATAGCCTCAAACGTATTTTTGGATTTTTTAAATTAAACTTCATTAAATAATACAATTTTTTACAAATAATTGAATGTTATTCTACTATTTACAAAAATAAAATTTGAAATCCAATAAAAGATAAGTTCTTGATAAGACAAAATGGCCCTGATAATAAGGGGTTAAGAATATTATATAAACTATACATATAAGTAAATATATGTCCCCTCAGCTGAAAAAAAGGCAAGGCATCACAATTCTGCCATGGTCTGGCCAATCACCAGACATGAATTCCATTTATCACGAGTGTGGAATATCCTTGACCAATTCCTTGAAAGCATCCCAGATTGCTAGAATCTGCTGAAACCAAACAGATAAGGATTGCCGATCTCATTTACACAACATATAAGCATGTTGCTGCCATATTTCAGACAAAGGTCTGCACCATGAAGTATAAACCACAAACATATTTTGCCACTACTATGTATGGTTCCAAATAAACTGATGTTCTTTCATATTTTAGTATCTATTTACTGATGTCAATTTTTTGTATTTAATTAGCTATGTTCATTACTTGGTTGATTTTTTGTTCTGATTTTTGTAGGTAGTTTGCAAATGATAAGAAGTTAATATTAATTATGCATTCAGCTTGAGTTCATAAGGTATTCATCAAAAGCCTAACCATAAAGACAGCTTTAAATTACAACTTAAAAGTTCACAAATTTTTACCTTGCCTTGCTCTTGCTTTATTAGCTCGGCAAACTTTCCTTCCCCATTTTTCACTAAGAAGTTACTCAAGCCACTCATGAACTGCCTAATCTGGATATTAAAAAAATAAATAATTAAATTCAACGAAAAACTGAAAATGAATGAAACATTTTTATATTTATAACAACCAGTATAAAAGCCCATCACAGATGATGGGAAACCTTTGTTGAATGATTAAAAAAAAAAAATTTAGAATTTAACTAAAACGAATTTGTCTGTATCTCCACAAAATGCACCTACTTTTCACTTATTTCATCAGTCTAGGAGTAATTCTTTAATCACCACATTTTTAGTAAAAACTATGCACAAAAATTAATTATTATTATTATTATGAAGTACGTGTGCACTCTGAAAGAGACTTAAATAGCATTCTTGAGCCTTTTAATTGTATTCTAAGTCAGGAAGTAGAAAACATAGTGCAGACATTCTGACACAAATTTTCAGCTCTTTTGACTGTACAAAGGATAAGATATTTGGTAGCAATAAATGTTTATTTTTCTTTACATTTTAAGGCCAAGTAGATAATATACATGTTAAGACCTGGCATTAGGCTTAATACATAAACATAACTCATGGCTTAGCTAAAACACTATTTGAAAAATTTTATTTTGCTTTTGGCTAAACTCAGTGTCATAAAACTTCTCAATTACAATATTTTGCTGTTACATCAATCAACATCCTGTAATATTTATATATTAAAATTCAAAAACTGTAACTAGAGCCAGAAGCATGCATATATAGACACTCACACACACACATTTGTTTTTATATAGTTAACTTAAATATTTCAGAAATTTACATAGTATGATTGTTTTGGTAATAAATTTTTTAATTCCACGATTCCTGTGGAATTAATGAAACCTTCACATTCATTGCTTTTGCAAAGTGAAATTTTTAACCTTTTATAGCAAAATAATTTCTCATATTTATATTGATTGTCTATGAAAATACACAATACATACATTCTTACATTATCTAATATTAAATGTTCTTACAAGTCTTAGGTTATCTTCAGGGTTTACTTGTCGGCTCTCCCTGGTACATTCTATGAAGCTGACAATCTGCTTGGCAAAGAGTGTGCTCTTGTCATTAGCTAATCTGTATATAAATAACAAAGTGAATATGTCATCATCAACAATTTATTTATAGTAACTTCATACACTGCAGTTACTACACCATTCTCAATCTTTGGACGAAGTCAAATGTAAGAAAGTTAATTTTGTAAAAATGCTAGACAATTGTTTATACATGTTAAAATACAATATAATAAGAATTAGATTTACAGACTGGAAATGCTTTACAACTCACAGCATACAAAATGGTAATATTAATAATATGACTGCACTTCATTGAATATTTTAATACAAAATACATTTTGAGTGAAATAAGTTTTAATGAAAACAAAACTTCAGTGCCAGTAAAAATTTATAATTTCTACATTACCTAATTAGTAGTTATTATTTTAAGACAAAAATATACACTTTTCCAAGCTAAGCCTTGCCATTAATCTTATATCATTACCAATAACATACAGTTACTACAATGCATTACTGATACACAATAACAAAAGTACAGAAGAAATTTCATTTAATTTCACAGCAGTACCTAGTGTCAAATTTTACTGTAGTGAACAGTACTACATCTATTTATCTGTCCACCCACTTCAATTTGTTTTCTACATTGTGCTTGCTGTTAAGACTTTTTTTGCTTTGTGAGATAATTTGAGTATATATGATACAAATTTCAAGAGCACACTGTTGTCTAAAATCTCCAGCAAAAGTACATCTGAACAGTTGAAATGTTATGTCTGTTTCATCACACATCATATTTATAGGAAAAATCCTGAAGATAAAAAAAACTAAAGGGATGAAAAAAAATCTCCTTATGCTTCAACTAACCAGCTTTTTTATATACCATTTGCTATAGGTGGGGCCAACATGCTGATTCATGTTCAGTAACTTTTATGTTCAGCTCTATTGTCACAATCAGTGACAAGAACTGACCCAAAAAAAGTTTGGTAAAATACCTTATTTTCTAGGTGTAACACACAGGAAACCCCAGTTGTAATTAGTAGGAGTTTAACTGCTATACTATTTTTTTTCCCATGACAGGAAATTAGTTTTTAAAGGAAAGAAACTTTCCTTAACTGGGGTGGTCGGGGATATTATTATCCCCATTTGCCCCAATTTTGTGTGTTATATTAATGGGATTATTTTAAGATTTACTGGAGTGTTGATTCTACATTCTGTAGTGAGATTCAAAATAGTGAGTAAAGCAGATACATGTTAACAGGATCCAGGGCAGGGAGAAAGGCCGTTGATGTGACACTGTTTGGAAGAAGAGAAGAAGCAAGGCGGCAAACAATCAACAAAGTAATCCAATAAGCTTCCCATGATCAGGGTCATGGGGTGGCTGGGATCTGTAAATCCAACGCCATGGCTGAGATCATTAAATCCAAAGGCCTTTGAATTTGCTGTGTGGGAGAAATGGGAGTACCCCAAGAAAACCCACTTTCACAAGACAGGCACCAAATATTCTACATGTCCTATCCCCAGTGCTAAAATAAGAAAATCACAAGAAATGATTAGTTTACACATAGAGTTAAGCTTTTGTCAGAGGTTGTATTTTTCTATGGTGTTTTGGAAGTCCTGTATATGTTGTATGGAGATACTGTTTTGTGTCATGGTGTGTAGCTTAGCAGTTAGGGTGTTTCTTATTTCTGCTGCCTGGTAATATTTGTGGGCAAGTGTTGTTAGTCTGTCTTTAAGTAATGGGATGTTGCTAGTTTTGTGCATATAATTGATAGGGGTGAATTTTGGTAGTCTGAGGGCTAATCTTAGAACTCTATTTTGCTGGAATTGTAGTGATTCAGCAATATTTTTATGTATAATGTAGGTGATTTGAGAACCATATTCTATTAGGAGCCGAATATATGCCTTATAGATTTTTACAATAGTATTAGATTTGCATCCTTTATTGTTTCTTGTTATGAGTTTTAAATGGTTAATTCTTTTGCTAATGGATTTGTTGATGTTTTTAAAGTGTTGCGTCCATTAGCATTGTGTGTCAAAAGTTATTCGTGGAGATTTCACATGGGGGCATAGTTTTATTTTTTAATGTTTTTGTAGCATTTGTTTAAGCAATTCCAATGGTTTTTACGAGGTTCAGAAAAACCCAACAGCTGTTACACCAGTTTAGGATTGTATTCAAGGATTTTTGAACTCTGTTGCTTGCTATTAGTGGATTGTAGGATACACCCCATACAGATATGTCATCTGCATATTGGGAAAAGTAAGTGTGTCATGTCAAGGAAGGTATGTTATTTACAAACAGCATATATATAGTAGTGGTGATAAAATTGATCCTTGTGCTACTTCTCCAGTGACGTTAAATGTATTGGATAGAGTGTTATTTATTTTAACTGTTGGTTAAATAGTTGGAGATACATCTCATTATTTTGTTATTAACATTCATGGAGTATAATCGGTATCTAATAGCATCATGCCACACAGAATCAAAAGCTTTTTTGACATATAAGAAAACTGCTGATGTTACTTGATTGTTATTAAATGATTTATATATAGATTCTGCAAGTCTGGTTAGGTGGTCTGTCATCTGTTTCATGAGGAGTTCTGTATGTCAGGTATTAGATTATTGTTTCCACAAAAAAGTAGTAGTCTTTGGAAATAATTCGTTCCATAAGTTTACCTAGACAACTTAGTTGACTTATTGGACTAAAGTTGTCAGGATTGGAGCTTCCTAGTAATGTTTTACGAATGACTGTGATTTTAGCTTTTTTTTTTCCCCAGACAGTGGGGGAGTATCCTGACAGGAAGAATAATATTTATAACATGGCAGAGAAGATTTGTGGGACTTGTGTGATTAGGAACCCTGTCACCAATAAAATAATGGAAAAACATGTAATTTAGTGTATAACCGAACCAATAAAAAATTTTTTAAACATCCAGAAGTTATCAGTAATTCTAGGATTAATTACTAATTAATTATTAATAACTTTCTTCACTAATACCAGTTCATTGAAGGTTAAAAAAAAAGGTGAGCTTGATATTATATGTTTTTGTGGAATATATAGTTACTCAATTTCAGAGTATATAATTTTTGAGGATTGAATATGTATAAAAGCAGATGCCTGTTTGCAAGCACTTTAATACAAATGCCAGATGTACCATTTAATACCACAGTACTATCAAAAACAGATGAAAACAAAGACTAAATATTCTTCACAGTACCTGAAAATGTAATTTCTAATAACTTCACCTTGTGGTGTATGGATGTTCTGTAGAGCAGCTGTTATGTGACCTGCTAAGAATGAAGCAAAGAAAGTTTACAAGTAGGTTACAAAAATCAATTTATATAATGTAAAGTGTTCTATAAAGACAGCATTCAACAACATAAGATACATCAATTAAAATATACTAGATCAGTACACAAGTTTTATCTTTTCATATATGACCATTTTCTTACTGGTCTTAGTAAAACCTAGATTGTCAGCAGTGGGATATTATTAAGATTATAAAAGCTAAACAAAAAATACCATAGAGCAAACCATACACACATTTATTTACCTTGGTAAAACTACTGAAGAGGAAATTTTGTGCAAGTTATATTAGGCTTGTAGAATAAAAATACTTATTTAAATTAGACAATTTCAATAAAGAAAAACTGAAAAAAAGTCTACCCTCTAAGAAAGTGCAAGATTTTGATAAAAACAAAAGAGAATAGATACTAATATCACAGAAGATTTCATTCTTTGACAAAGAATTATCATTTTTACCAAGAGTATTCCTCTTTATGAAAAATAACCAGACACTGATAAAATTCATGAGCAACAGAAAGCAAATCAAGTTTTATCTGTGTACAATTTGACAATAACTTATAACAAAATAAAATTAAATATTCAATAACTCTTAAAATCTTCTTTCTGAAGAACATACAGATAGTAGCCATGTGTACAGTAACTTGACTAAAAGTCAGCTGTAAAAATGCCTTGTGGTACTATAAGGAAATAATGTTTAAGTATTTATCACTTCAGTAATATTTTGAAATAAAAGTTCCATATGGTAAGGTTAACATTTTTCTAATCTGAAAATATATTTATGATACATACCTCCACATACAGAATAGCTATCTTCCTCAAGCATCTGACTAAGAGCTTTTTATGTCACTAGCCTTGAGGAAACTCCCACCAAATTTCACTTTTTAACATGAATTGCGCTGGTGCATGATGATGTCACCATGCAACAAAGGTCCTCCACTAGCAGGATTAAGACATAAGCTCCATGCACAGTAAACTCCCCTATGCACGTCCTCTCATGATAATTTCATTCTTTGATGAAGCAAGACAAAAAAATGTGCACCAGAAGTGGGGAAGATGGAAGTGAATGTGTGCAGATGCACCTATCTAATATATATTTTCATATTAGGAAAATGTTAACTTCTGTGACAATAACCCACCTCTTCACACAGAATAGCTAGAATTCCATGTTGAATTGGTATAGGGGCCGGTAAAAAATATTACCTATATGAGCTCCCTTCAGAAAACCCCCAAAGGTAAGCCTGAGTATGACAACAAATGGCAGGGGCTTCATAGGGGCACAACTGTGAGAAACCATATCTCATCTCAACCAGGGTATATACTCTTCACCAAGAATGTAGAGAGAAAAAAAAAAAAGAGGTAAACGAGCCCCATATTTTGCAAGACCAGGCAGAATGAGAACTTGACCATCTGAGTACTTACACACGAGAGATCAGATAGCCAATATGTGTAGTGTGGTTGGGGTGAGTTCAGACCATACCTTATGTGCTCACCTCATCTCTACTAAACACTCAGGCAGCAAAAGAAGGAAACTTTAGTTGTAGTAGGTTTTAGTATAGTGTATGCTCAACCCAACTGTACCAAACAGACTCTGGCTGCAAGAGGAAGGCATATTAATTATGTATCATGGTGTCTGTATATTGTGTGCTCACCACAAATGAACCGAACAGGTGTTGACTGTAGGAAGAGGTCACAAGAAATATTTGTTAATATTTTGAAAGGTAACCTGCACTACACTAACACTGTCCCACTTTTCTTCGTATAGTGCTAAACCCAACCAGGTACACTAGTAGAGCCAGGGCAGATGGTATGAGCACTTTCCATCATCCTGGCTCAATACAGTTTTTTTGGTAAACATACTCTAGGAGGCAATATCAGTCACCTACCACAACCCTAAGAAATGTAAAGGAGAGCTGAAAAACAAAATGTACTTACTCTTTTCAAAAACAATGGGTTGACTGAAGATTGGGGACATGTGGAAGCTAAAATCCTCTGGGAGATGAAACAGCCAGACGACGAATGTGAGGGGAGTCATCCACATGCCTGTCTGGAGGATCTTGTCCAAAGGCTTGTAAAAATGGGTAGCAAGAGAATGAGTTAGGTGATGAATCGAATGTGAAGAAATGTGAAATAGCTATTAGCATCCACATTCAGAGACAAAGATACCAATCAGAGGAGTCGAAAGTCCATAACAAGAAACCTGAACAATCCTAACGGGACAAAGCAATCGATCCAGGTCCAAATGATCTTATAGGTGAGAGACAGCAGGTAGGGAGATAGAAAAAAAATGTACAGTTACTAGCAGGGGAAGGAATGGAAACATTCCCAATAAACAGCAAGAAGTTTGAGCATGTGAATGTGGAATGAATGTTTGTCCTGCATGTAAATGCCAAAAAAGTAGTGTCCTCATCTAGAAATGTACTTCAATCAGAGAGGGAAGAATAGGTAAAGCGATAGATCTGGCTTGGGAGTAGTTAAGGGAATGCTGGAAGAGGTACTTGCACAGTCCAATAACCATAACAACTCCTTGAAGAGAAGAGAGGAGAGGTTCAGAAACAAGGGCAATGGAACCCTTTGATCTGTAAGGTCTACAGGAGGAAATGCATGTATGCACATCCTAAAGTAATGGGGTTTCAGGGGAACCAAAGTTCCCCAGTACAAAATAATATTTTGTACAGGATGAGAATAAGATGCACAAATCCCAGCAACTAGAGTAATATCTCACGTATGAAGAGGAGAAGGTCGAACCCACCCAAGACAAGAGATGAAGAAAATGTTTAGAAGCACAAAATATTGTGTAGGCATGATAAAGGGCATATATCTCGTGTGAAGCCATCCCAACCAAGTAGCCTCCTGTAAAAAAAGAAAGGAGTAAGAGGATACTATCCTAGAATGGGCTAACAGAAATCAATCATCCAAGAAAAGGAATACTAGCCCCAGGCCATGAACATGGCAAGTGAGGGCTCTCATGTTACAAATGAATACAAAAGGTGCTGATGCTACATCAAAGATAAGAGCAACAAATTAGGATGGAATGTAAAAACACATGGAGAATGGATCAAGAGGAAGGTGTCCAAACATAGCAACCACAGTCAACTGCACACTGGGTGAAATAGACCACAGAAAAGGATGGTGGGAGGAAAAAAAGTAAATGGGAAGTGCAGCAATGAAGTACAGAGATTATGGTGGAGAAAGGAAAAAACAACTGTTGGCAGAAAATAAGACTAACCAGAAGAGAAGAGGAAGAGACAGGTACCTACAGGGTTGGAAACAGCTTGGTACTTACTGACAAGACTAGTGAAGAACTAGACGTCTGGCAAAGGGAGGATGAGAAAAGGAGGAAAACCTGGAACCTGAAATGGGAAGGTAAGGATAGATTGATCCAGACGAGGAAAAGGCAAAGTTGAAAAAGTTTAAGAAGAATGAAATGAACACCAGCAAAGACATACGGATGAAGGTGTACAGTAAAAAGAAATGTAACCTGACTCAACGAGTTCCAATATCAGATGAATAAATTAAAAAGGGACAAAGCAGAAGAAATGGAACAGGTTAAAGTGACAAAGAGAAGGGAGCGAACTGCTACAGAAAAAACCTCTGAGGCACAATGAAGTGCCTCAGATAAAAGGTGGAGGTAGGAAAAGAAATGAAGGAGGGTAGTAAGAAAAAGGATGAAGATGTAAATTGAGGAACAACAGAATGAAACAGAAGGCAAGGGACCCAATCCCAAAGCAGGCCAAAGAGATAAAGATAAGAAATCAAGAAAAGAAAGGAAAAATGTTTACAAGGCAGGACAAAAAGTCACAAATTTGAGGGGGAAGAGGCATTAGGATGTAGTTATTATAGAAAGAAAAAACTAAAAACCCTAAACCAAACAGGGAGGAAAGACAAGGTAAACGAGAAATGGGATCATGGAGTAAAAATGATAAATATTAAAGGACAGAGGTGAAAGATAAAAAAATGAACCTACCTGAGAATGAAATCAAGAAAGAAACTGGAAGTTTAAAGTCATTCCTCAAATGGTAAGGCACTACCCAAGGCAAACCAGATTAAATTCATAGTCCAATAGATCATTACTGACTTAGGAGAAAGAACTTCGGTCAACAGGATGGGAGTAGGAGGCCCATTAAGCATGTGTCAATCCATAACATGTTGAACAGTGGCTGCAATGTCCCCAACAATTAACGAGCATCTAGAAACCATAGTAGAAATAAGGCCTGTGTGAATAACATTGATGCTAACACACGACTAAGGAAAAGCCACTGCCACTTGAGAGTTCATGGTAAAAAAATCAATGCTCTTGAAACAAATGCCAAAGAAAACAAAACCAAAGTTTTGTTAAGAAATGATGCAAACCATCTCAATGAATTGAACTTGAATATGTCTGTTCAATGCAATGCTGAGGAGAAAAATGAAGTTATGTGCATATGGGTTGTGTTGCCCTCCTATTGGAGGGCTTTAGTTACATAATGATTTCATCATGCACAAGCACAGTTCATGTTAAAACATGAGAAATTAGGTGGGAGTGGCTTCAAGGTTAGTGACATGCAAATTTCTTAGGTAAACATGTGAGGAAGATAGCTATTCTGTGTAAAAAGATAAGTTACAGTCTCAGAATTTACCTCTTCAGATCAAGATTTAAATATTTCTTAAACACTAAATTATAAATTCAAGTTTATGTGTAAGTACATAAATATTAGATGTTGCCACAGTTACTCACAAAACCGGTTATCTGTCTGGATTTTAAATTTATTTATCCAGATCTCTTTTCAGTACCAGGTTACCAATTTTTTTTATTTGAGAAAATATGAAAACAATGCAGTTGTAAGCATGGGTCTTTGGCCAGCAGAATAAAGGTGAACTTCACAGGTTTTGTATATTGTGGGTCTCCTTATTTGATAAAGGTATCCTATACCATACTCTTTTGCTTCATTGCCATGGATGGGAATGTTTTAGTTGCCTTATTGATTTGAACTTAAAAAAATAAGAGCAGAATATGGTGCATGGAGCACACTTAACATTAACAACTTTATTCAATCTGAGGTTGTTGTTTTATTATTATTATTATCACTTTCTTGTTTTCAGTACTAAAGGATGCTACACAAGTCTATAGATCTGAAGAAAGGAAACATATGTGTACTAAATACAGCATGAGGTATGTACTATGCATTTGAAAAAATAAAATTTACGACAAAATTAATGCAAGTTCTATTTTATTACTGTTATTACCTCAAAACGACCAGGGATCCTGGTTATTTTTCACAGTGGGTACAAGTCTGTGATTTTCTACCTGTGACAAACTCTAACACACACACACACACATTCTTTTTTTAATTGTTTAACTATTATGACTGGAGGGAAAAGATGTGTTTTTTAATGTTTTTTTAAAAAACAGTTTCACAAAACAATTTCCAAAAATACACAATCTAAAATAATATATATATATAAGACACACACACACACACACACACATTATTTACTTGTTCAAGGTGAAATATTGTAACAGATAAGTTAAAAACTAAGTAAATGCTGAAATTATTTTTTGGCATATATATTTAAAATTATATGATAAAATCCAAATCAAATTCATGAAGAAATTCAATAAATACTCAAAGTGCCTCCCCCTTCGAACATTTAGTTCAGTTTATTACATTTGTAACTGAAAAACTTAATAAAAACAAAAAGAACACAGTACCTATAGTCTGAACATTGTCATTATTTCCTGTCATATGGCCATCTGCTGGAATAGTTGGATAGTTCCATATTTGATCATCAGTATTTGAATCAGTTTCGCTATTTACAGATGACGAGTGACGTGATTCATCACTACTTGTAGGTGTTTCAATCTTTAAACAGAAAATCAAAATTCTTTACTTAGAAATTCCTCTTTAAACAATGATGACACATGTATTTTACATTTCAACTCAAAATAAATTGTATAAACTTGTAGTGTGAGATTAATTTCATTCTTATTCATGTACACAAATCATATCTATTTTAGATATTATAACTAGATTCATCTATCCATGGTAGTTTTAAAGAAATTCTAATTATTAAAGCAGAAATGTCATCAATTCAAATAAATTCAGAAAAGCCAAAATTTTAATAATTCAAGTTTTTGCTAGGAAAATTTCCACATGAAAATGCCTATTGTCATTAATGGAATCATATACTATTAAAAAAATTAAACTAAATAATTGCTAAATGATTTAATAATAACATTAAATGTGAATATCTGTAAATTAAATGTAAATAATCAATATTAGGGCCTCATTATACTGGATGGAGAACAGTACATTTTTATGTAAATGTATTATGACATACCATGACATTTGCCATGGTGTTACCCTGATTAATGTAATTATGGCAGCATTTTTTTTTTGCCTTGGACTGTGTGTACTAAGTTTGAGGGCTTATCATTAATTTAAAAAATGTTTCTATAAACAGCTAAAGTGACATGGCAAAGATTTTCAGATATATAGTTTACTGTTTTCAAAAAGAAAATACATCCACTACAAGTTGCACCTACCTTCACATTTTTCAGTTGATTATTTTTCATAGTTTGCTCAGGATTCTCCTTTTCAGTAACATCTTCTTTTCCAATATAGGTTTCAGGTGCAGAATGAAGAAAACGATAGCAAATTTTTTGGTCCCAAGGCTCAGAAAATACAGTGGATGTGTCATCAATGTTATCAGCAGGCTGGTTATCTTCCAAGTCTTTGTTTCTCTTCAAGTTTTCATACTCTGTATGTTTTTGTTGCTTGTAATTTCTAAACATAGGTTCGGATAGTTCACATTCTGACTCACTATCCTGCAGTTCTTTTTCTTCCTCATCCCCATGGTCACACCACTCCCATGATGTGTCTGAAGCCCATTCTTGATGGTGTGCACGTTTTTTAAACGAGCAGCGAGATTTTACTGGTATATTTAACTTCTCATTGGTGCATTGCAATGAAACTTGTATATTTCTGTTTTCAACTGCACAATCTTTAGGTTTTTTCTGTTCATTTGAAAACTGTATAGGATTCTCAGTTTTTGAGTTGTAACTTTGAGATGAAACTAAAGGATTACTATGTATTTTTTCTCTGCTTGCAGACAAACTGTTTTCATCTGTTGTGAAGCTGTCTCGCAAGCAGTTCCGTGTCTTAAGCTGATCTTGCAGTGGAGTAAAAACAGTAGAAGTTAGGGAAGGAGTCACAGAGCTTGAAAAATGTGCATTATTTACAATATCAACTGCATCAACTGGAAGTGCATAAAATGGACTAGAAATACCTTGATACTCCATACTCGTAGTCTCGTTACTTCTCCAAGTAGCTGTATTTTGTATTTTGAAAGAATTACTGCGAACAACTTTCTCAGTAGGTTGTGTTAGAGGAGTTTCTTCTTTTGCCTCATAAGTCTGAGTGCTGCTACTTACTAGATCCTTTCTAAAATTCTCCAAAGCAATGTTTTGTCTATTAAAGGTCAGTAAACAAGTGGTATCTTTCTGCTCTTTCTTCTCAGGGTCCAAACTTTTGGCAAAGCTGTGTTTGTTATCATTAGAAATGACATTAGATCTGTTACCCATATCAAATTTCTCTAAATCTTCGTAATCACTTACCTTATCATCTAAGCTACTTCTATAATAAACTATGGGATTGTCTACAATATCTGACTGCTGATAGTGTGAAACTAAAGTTTCCTCACGCTTGACTTCCATATTTTCTACTGTGGATTCAACTGTGCTCAATTTCTTAGCAGTCTGTAAAAGAGAGCTTGATTTACAGTGAGTGAGTGACAGAGAATTTGTGGTACTGCTGCTTTCACTAATGTTTGGCACTTTCTGGTGAACAGCTTGTAACACAGAATGAGAAGGGCAAATAGATGAAGGAACCTTGGCTGAAATAACAGGTTTAGGAGGTACTGGTGGTTTTATTGGCAACACACTTCCACCCAGTTTCAGACTTTCGCGTGTCTCAGCAGGTGAAGTTAAAGGCTTGAAGGTAGTTAATGGCAAGTTTTCTTGTGATTCCACTTTCTTTACACTGGTTGTATGCATTCCTACAGCTCCTTGAACCAAAAGAGACACCCAGAATTCTACAAAAGTTAAAAAACACAAATGTCTTAGAAAATGAAAACTAAATTCCTGGTAAAAGCATGTTTAAATATAGTCTAACTACACATTTGTACATTTCCACCTGTTTAGCTTGTAGGACACCTAAAGAATTTATATTGCTTCTTGATTCCATGAATATGAATAGATTTGATTCACAAGCATAAAAATTATTTTACAAATACAGCTAAGCATATCATTTCAACAGGAAAGGAAACTGGACACAACTCTGAGCTGCATTCATGATTACACAAATAAAAAAAATTACTAAAAATAGGTCATAGTCAATGTATGTCTTGTTTAACTCTTTCAGCACAAGCTTGGTCCCCGAGACCGACCTCATAACCTTTGTGTGCTTGTTATAGTTTTCATGCTATAACTTTTAAATTAGTAAGTGTATGTTAATGAAATTTGGTAGATTATCAGTAAAAATTACAATGCTTTCAAATGCAATATTTTTCACAAGCCTTTTTATTTCTTTTCACATGTTGCCTATTCAACGTGCAAAGTAATTTTTATTTTAAGATGAAAAATACTTTTATGCATCATAAAATGTTCAAAATTCACTCGTGAAATTTTTTATAATGTTAAGATAGTTAAACGTTTCTTAAGAAAAAACTTTATATTTTATCTGTTATTTTCAGTAATAAATCTATGTACAGGTTTGGTCGATTTGACCAATCTTGTAACCACCTTAAAAATTAGGAAATAAATATAAATTATGCTATTTTTGTTCTAGAATGAACACAAATTATAACAAGTAAATAGCTTAAATCTCATAACATTATACATTTATATATACATTTATTATTTTTATTACATTGACCTTTCAGCTATGCCTAGCTAACAATACAGAAATTACAATGATGCATCAAATGTGCACTCATGTTACCGTATCCAACAATACAAAACTGACCTTTAGTCTTTACAAAGTGACTTGTCTTGGCTGTATCTTAGTAGACTAGTATTTTGTAAAATACAGTCACATTTCAATTATTATTCATTATATATGTATATAGATTATTGCTATTTAGAACTAAGTTCTTCAACTTATTTTTCTTAAAACATAGAAGAGTAAATAAAGAAGCAAAGAATTATCTCTTCTAGTTACGACCTCTGTACTTGGTTGCTGCTTGACATAGCTTACTAAACCTTTTAAAATTTTGCACATGGAGGATATGAAATTAAATAATTTTTTCAGGTTTTACATATACAGTTGAATAACTAAAAAATCAAATTACTATATCAATACCATAGAATTCCACTATAATTTATGAAGCTTAATAACTAAGCTGTATTTCATTCTAAAAAAATATAAAATTTCAAGCAGACTAAAGACACAACCTACCTCCTTGAAATCTTGGTTTGAAATAAAGAGATGGCGTCCAAACACGTTAAAATGGCTGAGAAAGCCACTAGGGGACATTCTGAGCTTTCGATTGGTTATTCATGTCATATATAGAAGTTTCCAAAAATGAAAAGAGGTTGGTGGGCTGCTATTGTGTTTGATTTATTACACGAGCAATATCTTAGCAAAT